ACTACTACTACTACTACTACTACTACTACTGCTACTGCTACTGCTACTGCTACTGCTACTGCTACTGCTACTGCTACTGCTACTGCTACTGCTACTGCTACTGCTACTGCTACTGCTACTGCTACTGCTACTGCTACTGCTACTGCTGCTACTACTGCTACTACAACCACTACTACAACCACTACTACCACTACTACCACTACTACCACTACTACCACTACTACCACTACTACCACTACTACCACTACTACTACTACTACTACTACTACTACTACTACTACTACTACTACTACTACTACTACTACTACTACTACTACAATGTAACAACAAGCCCCCCAACCAACAATCACAAACACAGACCAACACAAACACAAAAACAAACAGACAGACAGACAGACAGACAAACAACCAAGCAAGCAAGCAAGCAAGCAAACAAACAAACAAACAAACAAACAAACAAACAAACAAACAAACACAAACAAACAAACAAACAAACAAACAAACAAGAACAAAACTAACTAACTAACACAAACAACCAAACAAACAACACAAATACAGCAAACAAGCAAGCAGTAAAAACAACAAAGCAAACAAACATAACAAACCAATCAGGAAAACAAAAGAAACAAACAACCAAATCAAAGACACAAAGATACAAAAAAGCGAAGACACGCAAACAACAGAGCAACAAGCCAACAAACAAACAAACCAAGAACCAAGCAAAAAAATCAAAGCAACAAAGAAGCAAACAAGCAAGCACTCAAGCAAGCGCGCGATCAAACAAACAAACAAACAAACAAACAAACAAACAAAACCAAGCAACCAAGCAAGCAAGCAAAGCAAAGCAAAGCAAAGCAAGCAAGCAAGCAAGCAAAGTAAGCCAAGCAAGCAAGCAAAGTAAGCCAAGCAAGCAAGCAAGCAAAGCAAGCAAGCAAGCAAGCAAGCAAGCAAAGCAAGCAAACAAACAACGAAACAAATACTCCAGGAAGCAAATAGACAAAGAAGCAAGCAGGCAGGCAGAAAGGCAGGCAGGCAGGTAAGCAGGCACGCAAGCAAAAACAAACAAACAAACAAACAAACAAACAAGCACACCAACAAACAAACAACGAAAAATACACCAACCAACCACCAGGCAAGCAAAAAAGTAAGCACGCAAACAGAGAAGAAACGAAACCAAACAACAAAAAAGAAAGCAAGAAAGAAAGAAAGAAAGAAAGAAAGAAAGAAAGAAGCCAACCATCAAACAGACAAATAAGCAAACAAACAAGGCAGCTGTCGAAAAGGAACCACCATCCAGGAAGCAAGACATGGCATCCAGTTCCCTATCTCTCAAATTTTGCCTCGGCGCGGGGAGAATGAGCCACACGGGGGCGCAGAAGCTCTGACCGTGCGGCGTGAGCTCCAAGCAGGGCCCCGCAGCCGCCGCCGGCGCGTCGGGCGGCAGAGGGCAGACGCGGAAGGAAGCCTCTGGCACACCTTTGCGGTGCGCTCACATGGATCTAGCAAATGACCAAATGCCCCTTGTGATAACAAAGTGAGCCCTCCCTATGACTAGTCACTGTAAACCAGGGCTCTGGAAAATGACCATTCTTGTGATACAACAGAAACCCAAAGACGAACCCCCCACATAAATGAGAGATTCCCTTGTATCACAGAAGTGGTCCTAAACACCTCAACTAGGGCCGCCAGAAACCGAGGGAAGACTGAAACCCAAAAATTTCACATCTCCCAATGCCTTCCTGTGCCTCTCCAAAAGGGGGGCAGACTATGCAAGTGGAAACGCACGCCATCATGTTTACTGCTGGATGTCGCCCTTAGAGCCGCGGCAAGCTTGTCGGCAAATCGGAAGGAAAGCAACGCCGAATCCTACGAAGAATTACTCGCTGGACCAGCTTGCTGGCTCCTTCCTCCTTTCGCCGAAATGTTGTTTGTCTAAGGCAACACGGTTCCAACATCTATTGAGCATGTTTGGCAAACCTATTTTGGACAGCATCCACGCGCCACTCCGGAAACTAACATTCCTGCACCCAACAACCTAGGTGAATCGCGGTCTCGCCCCTCACCACCTTGGCCAAGCCGCTCACGGGAACCAGCATGGTGACGCCCTCACTAATCTTCGCCACATGCCCGTCCATGGAGCAGTGAAGCTCTCGCAGGGCAGAGCAAAATTGCAGCTCTTTGCCAGACGCACCATCCTTGGTTCAAATGGGTCAAAAATAGGTACCCAAAATGGAACCCTGATAAATGGAAACATGGACTAAAACCTGCGGTCCAATTCCTGGTGGTCTTATTTTGACCCATACCCAGCTGGAAATAGAACACTTTGCCGGGAGCTGGAGCAGGCTGAGGCTTGGCCGCACAGGTAAGCTGAGCCATTGGTTCTCGCCAAGCATCCGAAGCCACGGAGATCATGTCCCAGGACCTTGGAAGACACTAGCCGCGACTGGGATGCTGGGCATTGGTGGCCAACGAGCCGGACACCTCGCTGACCCTATGCTGCATCTGGGGCTGTATCAAGAACCTATGATCTGATGGTCCACACCAGTGGCACACACGTGTGCGCGCAACACACACAACACACACATACACAACACACACACACACAAACATACAACGCACCGTCTTGAAAGAATTGGATGTGGGCATCATCAAACGCAACGTTGGCTCCCTTCGCACAGGCCACCAGCGGCGAGCCAGTTCGGGCCGCGGTGCGTGTCAGAGGTTGGCTGCTCTGCAAGAGGCATCAAGCCGCCGAGCCCAGGTCTGGCAAACCTGCGCGGCCCAGGCTCGGCCGCCTCAGCTTGAGACGTGAGGTGAACCGAGGGCCACTTCCAACAGCCTGGCCCTGCTTAAGGAGTCCATCGCGGTGGTAGAAATGTTTCTTTTTTTCTGTGATATCAAAGTGGGCCAGCCGGTGGTCACTTAAATATCACAACTGGGCCTAAGACCCTTTGGTCCAAAACCATACCTTTGTCTTGCAGCCCAAGCACTTCCTGCGAGCTGGTAGAGGTCCCGCAGGGGGCTACGCTGCCAGCGGCAGTGGTAGAGACTGCCTCGCGAACGACACTCTCTGGCTGGATGTGAATCAAACAGAAAGAATCCACCAGCCGACAATTCAGCCGGTGCCTAGACCTTCCAAGGGTTGAACTGAGAGCACAGCTTGGAGCACTCGGAGTCCCCCCAGACTCGCGGCTCGCGGGTTAGGCGCACCGATCAGCCAGCCCTTGATGACACCCTTCGCCCGCCTGGGGCTCCTGCCGCTTGATGGAGCATGGGAGCACCGTAGACCACTTCTTTTTCTCCGGCACGACGTTCTCCGTGTACCACAAGGAGCGCTTCTCGAAGTGCTCTCGCAGATTCTTCTGGTGTTCTTTGCTGCCTCCCTGAGATCCATGGCTTTCGTTGCTTTCGTCAGTCCACTTCCTCAACTGAAAGCGAGCATGCGTCAAAACGCCCCCCACACGTCTCGCCCCAAAACTTGGCAAAGATGCTCAAGTCTTTCAACGCAGCTCCCGCGTTTCCCCTTAGGCTGCTTGCCAAACCAAACGCTCAGCCCTCTGGGAATTGGCATAGGAACCCTTGACCATTCCAAGAGTCTGGCACATAAGGCACCTGAGCGCCCGCTTGCTCTCCGGGTTTTGCTCATCCAGCGGCACCAGCGCAATGAACTCCCACTCCGGGTCCTGCTGAATGCGCTGCTCCTGCCGCCACGCCTCCAGGTACCGAGCGTGGGCGTCAGAGGACAGGTGCTTGTCATCAATGTTCTTCTTGCAGGCCAGGCAGTAGTACCACCTCTCCTCAAGCGCACACAGGCGAGAATGCCGAAAAAGCCGGCGGCTGGCGCTTTTTTGGGAAAGACAAAGGCAAAGGCAAAGAAGTGCAGCCCCCGGGCCTGGACAAGCCACGCCAATGCCTGTGGAAAGTTTCGAGTTGTCTACACACATGGCTGTGGGTCAGAAATAGGTACCCCAAATGGAACCCTGGTAAGAGGAAACATGGACTAAAATCTGCGGTTTCCTGGTGGTTTAATTTTGACCCACACCCACATCACGCAATCCATAAAAGTCGCGGGATCCATCCGCTCACGTGCACGAAATTTGCAAGCTCACCTGGTCTGTGCGGGCCTAATATTTAATGCGCGCGACTTGCATCACAGAGTTCTGAAGGACCCACCATGATGACCTACATCAGTACCACGAACCCTGCTCGTCCACTGAACGCTCCATCCTCGTCCACTCTCACCCAGGGCTGCTGCGAGAGGTCTTCACACCTAAGCGAGCGAAAGGAGTATCCCCGGTGCTTTAAAACCCCAATTCTGTCTCTCCTTTCTTTGGGGAGGGGGTCTCTCTTCTTTTGACACATTCACATAGCCCATTTTTCCCCTGAAAGCTCAGCGCTTCCATTCGGAACCTGGGTGTAGCGAATTCATGGGATCCCAAGATCCAGCTCTAAGGCTTCCTCCGAATATGGCCTGGATAAGGCCTTGTTCGTATTTTGGGAAACCAGGAAGAGGGCTGGAATCTTGTGAAAGATGTTCCGGCAGTTTGGCCAGGCAGCGAATTCGACTCCTCCAGTGCGCTTCGCTCCATGTGCATTGGCAGCTAAAGGGGATTTCTCTTCTCATCTTTGTCGGTAAGCTGCTGAGTTGCTGGGGAAAGCGCCGCTGGTCTTGAGCCTATCGCCGGGCCGATTTCTGTTTGGTCTTCACTTGCTCATTCGAGTCTGCTTCTCCCCGCACCCGTTGACTCAAGATCTGCGGTGAGCGCTTGCTCGCACTCACGAGAGCTCCAAACAGGGCGAGATACATCTTCTGTCAGGCCTCAATCAATCAGGATGGGGTGTCAAACCAGAATAACGTCATGATCACAAAACAACGTCATTTCAGGGAGCGGAGACAAAAAAAAAAAACTCCATTTCAATTTCAGGGACAAAACAAAATCGTGTGCAATTCCTTCGCCCCGTACCTGGCAACTGCTGTGAGCGGCATCTGAACCCCTCGCCTCCTCGAGCAGCTCTCGAATGGCCGGCTCCAGCACCACCCTGGGGGTTGAGTGGGCTGTGGGAACCCACGAGAATCGGCAGCCCCCTTTGTGTGATGGGTCAAAATCCAACATCCCAATCCAACCACTGAAATAGGTCCAAAAAAATGGGTGGTGAATTCACCTACCCCAAAAATGGTACCATTGGTTTCGACCCACAGACGTGCAAATTCGTCTGCCCTTTAAAGCAACCGCAAACGCGGGTACCATCCAAAAACGGGTCCCTTCAAGGCAACCCCGCAAAACGGGTAATTACCATGCCCAACTAGCAGCCATCCCGCAGGATTCGAGTGTGCTTGTCAGTGACACATTTGCGATAGAAGCCAGATTCCAGCGCATGCGGGATCCTTTTCCTTCCAGCGAGGAAAAAAACCGTCTGCGTTGCACCACAAATGAAATAAATACCTTGGAAACAGCGACGTCAAAATGCTGCCTGTCTTTCTTCCCAACAGCTCCAGTCAGCTCACGGCTCGGCAGGACGAAGGGCAAAAATATCATTGTAAGCAAAAAGGGATGACTAAACCAAAATGGGAGAAGAATCGTGCAAATTGTACTTTCAATCAAATGTAAGGCAAACCCTCAGCATGACTCCCCCGTGACATCATCGCAACAGCTTGCAAAGAACTGACTTTGCATGTAGCGCTCCGAAACCCTGCTGACACCAAGAGCATGGTGCTAGAAACGGGCATCCTCACAGCATGCAGCGTAACAGAAGCGTGGGTGATTATGGGTTTTCAACCACCTCTTCTCACAACGTCACAAGACTTCTCGCTGATTCTTGCAGCCATCATTACCCAATCCGCCTTGCCCTCAGGATCCAAGGCTCTTTTCGGGTACAGGTTCTGGGGGCATGGGGGGTTGTGTAGCATTTGTGCAAGGGGTAATATAGGTATCTGTCCAAAATAAAGCATTCGGACACTCAAACTTTTGGTCCCCCTCTCAACCAAGCCCCCCGAAAAACTGGTTCCCAAGAAACACTACCCAAAAACGGTCCCCCCAAGTCGTACGGGTTCTTCTACCCCATGCTCCGGAGCTTCCGCCCCCGGTGGAAACCCCAACTGAGCTTCCCGGCTGCCCGTCGCGGCTGTGCAGCCCCCGGCCCACGATGATCTTCAGACCCCTCGATCCGGAAGAAATCCAAACGGGCCCAATGTTTGGGCCCAGGCTGGCCATGGGTCAAAACCCAAATCGGTGAGCCCCCAAACATCGACCAAGCCAACCACTAAAATGGGTTCTAAATGGGTGGTGCACCTGAACATCAACCAATCCAACCGCGATAAAATGGGTTCTACATGGGTGGTGAATTCACCTATCCCAAAATGGGATACCATTGGTTTTGAACCATGGCCATATGGGTGTCGGTCAGAAAAATTGGCTCCCAAAATGGAACCCTGGCAATCAAATGGAAATATGGACTACAACCTGCGGTTCCCTGGTGGCTGAATTTTGACTCATACCCAGCTTTAGACCCATGAAGTAAATTTGGAGGACAGGTCAGGGCTTGGACAGGGAGAATCAGCAGGCCACTGGTTGCCGATGGCTGATGTTAGCTGTCAAGCCCAGGGCGCTACCATCCCCGAAAAGGGGGTCGGGCAAAAACATGCGGATGGAACTCTGTGGCAAATGCGGATAGAGCCCCCAGCGATGCTTTGCCCAACACCCACTTAGAATAGTAAGAAGCCTATGATACCAGAACCCAAAAACCTGAGGTTCCATTGCATGCTGTACCTCGGTTACTCCACATCGTTCCAAACGGAGCCGGGCAGACCAGCAGAAGGCCAGGTCATCTTCAGGCAAGTCAGTCACCCCCTCAGTCGCTAACACCACTCGCTTTGTCCCAGGTGGAACCGCCAGACATTGCTTTTGAGGGGAAGATGCCCAAATGAATTGCAGGCCCTGGCTGATCCAAGGTGAAGAATCCCTACTTGGAGGAACACACTCTTGACTTGACATTCAAGGGCTTTCATTCCGGCTCTGCAATGAGAACATCACAATGTTGAGTCCATCCAAAGCAATACAACTGCGCTTCAATAGAACAGCAAACAATTCGGTTCCTTGGCCTCTCCTGATTGTGGTTGCGATGCCCGTGCCCTCTCAGAATCGCCGTTCCTTTACTTCTACCCAAACATGGTACAAAACCGATATCCAAAAATCGGCTCAAGCTTTCCCTCAAGCCAGAAGCCACAGGTCACTGCACGAAGCCAGTCAACCGAACTGACTGCTGCACTGCTCGGTTTACAAGGGTCAAGCTCAAATCACACCGCCTCCGTTGCCCTCTTCCACTGTGCCCCAACCAAAAACCGAGGAGGATCCCGATCTGAGCACCGGGCACGCAAGGCCGCGTAGACGGCCACCTTGGCCACCTGAAATGCGGCATCCTGGAGGGGGTTTCCCTTGAAGACCCAGCTGAAACAAAGGTACCGAGCCGCAAACAAAAACACACCCGTACGTCTGAAACTATGTTAAGGTTCACAGACTGGAAATCAATAAAATCCTCAAGTAAAGCACCTTCATCATGGCATGCGTAAGCAACCCTTGCTCCCAACTCGGTGAGATTGTCATAACTTGCCCAAAGCCATTGGTGTTCGTTCATCTTGGATCGAAATATTGCCATTGGTCTCATTTTCATTCTAGTCGTTACCAGCGCTGTGTTGGCTTCCCCAAAGGAGACCCTCCATGTCTCTAAGCAAAGACCCCGGGTGCACGGCTTCGGTGCTCATGCCATGCAAGTCCAGCAGCCTGCGCCGGGTGCACCCGCGACCCGCGCGGCAGGGCATGGATCGATGAGGACGACTTGTTTGTTCCTTGAGTTCCTTGGAAGCCAGGGTTGTGGGATCACTCGGGGTTTCTCCAACCACTTCTGTGATACAAACAAATCCCCATTTATATTAGCAAAACAGTCTTTGGGAAGCTTTTTCTGTTGTGTCACAGAAGTGGTCATTCCCCACAGCCCTTTTGGAAGCCAGTGCAAAATGTGGTCGGATTGAAACCCTATCTGTCTTTGACGAGGCTTGAAAACCGTATCTGTTATTGACGAGCGAGGAAGAGGCAGGCACAAACCACATGCCGACCAAATAAAAACCCACAACCATTGTGGTTCGCTTCTGCTTGCATGCGAGCTTGAGGAATCTGAAATCGCGGCTTCACAATATCACCCAAACCCAAAGAGCGTCTCTGCAATTCCTCTCAGGTAGTGTTCCCTCGCAAAAAAATCGAAGGATCCCCGGATCCCCGGACCAAAATCGAACGCCAATTCGTCCCGAAAACGCCGGCGCTCGCCTTCCATCACGCACCCAGGGCGCGAAGGCACCCTCCGACAGCGCCTGCGGTGCGACGGCCGGCGCCCAAACTTGGAATCTCTGATGCGGGCAATGAGAACACAGAACGCCTTGTCATCCTGCCGAGATAGCCAGTTGCCTCGCGAATCAACAGGACCTGGAATTGCGGCTGACTTGCACGCAGATTCTGGTGTTGGCCTCCGCCCCCGTCTGAAATGTTTCAGTTTTGGACCCAACATCCTTCACATCGGGTCAAAAGCGTGTGTTCCCCATAAAGATTCACAGCAAAATGAGTATGACTCTCTTTATGGGGGAACCTTTGGTGGACATCATTTAGGCAAAAAAACAACTAGTCCGCCAGCCTCTTTTGAGGTGGCCATGGGCCACAATCCGGTACCCCCAGTAAACATCCCAATCCCCACTAAAATAGGTTCTAAATTGGGTGGTGTGTCTACCCCAAAATGGGATCCCATTGGTGTTGACTCACAGCCACATAGCCAAAGCGCACAACCGCCGCGAAGTTCAGCCGCTCCTGGGCGAAGAGGTTCGAAGCGCCCTCCAGCTTGTTCATGAAGGTCTGGCGATCGGGCAGGTTTTTGGGGGCGACCTCCAAGCAAACGCCGGGATCCTGGAAACAGTAGTTTAAGGGCCTAAATCATTGTGGGGTTCTAAGATACTTTGCGCCGAATTACGTCATGATTCTAGCAGTAAACTATAGTTGATTGTTTGGCCTCTTTTGTAGTACCAGGGTCATTGGCGTCGTCTACGATAATGGCAACCCAAGAAGTCGTAAACACACCTGTTTGCCCAACGTCGAGTGTTCCAGCAGTGTTGAGTGGCCCAGAGCCCAGTGTTGCCCAGTCATGGGGGTTGTCCCAGATCGGGGTCATCCTTCGCTGTTGGGCGAAACCCACCTGCTAATCCACCAGATTCATTCATCTGAGGTCTCATTCCTTGTCTCGTCCCTTGTCTCATGAGTGCTTGACACCTCCTTTGCCCTGAGCAAGTGAAAGAGCATATCATTTGACCGTGTGACTGCGGACATGCGGCACCGAACCTCAAAGATGCCTTGCACAAGGCGAAAGCCGACGACTCATATCCGGCCTTGACCGAATCGCCGTTGAGGACAGACTCCTCTGGAGTGGAAACGGTCATGAAGAATAGCTGTCACTGATCGCTGCATGCGACCTACTGGAGACCACCCTAGCCTCTGTCAACGCGTACCGCAGGAGTTGTGTCCAGAAAGCTTCCTCTCCGGGTCAAACTAATGGTTTCGTGGTGATACACTCAATTGCGTGTCGTGTAAGAGGATGTGAATGGTTAAGCCCATTCCCTCGCAGCTGTATTTTGCAGATGAATAATTTCCATGAAGGAGGATCCAGGCTGGTTTGCAAGGAAGGGACCGAGCCATGCGTGCCTCAATATGCTTCGGCTTGATAACAAGCAGCATAGCACAGCAGTGGGTTTATGACTCACAGAGCTAGGAGGACCATTGACAACTGGCACCGCTCGCCATCGGACTTGCTACTCAAAAGACAGCCCTCACTGTCCAACTCTGTCAGCTGGTCAGATAGAGAATGGAGGAAACTCCTGGTTTGTCAAGCATCCAACTCGGAAACCAACGTGTCACTCCAACTCTTTTTTCAAGAGCCATCCACTGCACTTGCCCTGCACATCACTCGGCCTCCTCCTCGGGTTCGGCCACCTGTTCGGACGCCTGCCACAGGAGTTCCAACAAGGAGCTGAGGCTCCTTCCCTGCAAACCTGCGACTCACGGAGAACACCCGGAATCTCGGCGCCCGTTTGGGGCGAACCCGCTAAGCTCGCCAAAATCAAGAATCAAGGGGTCAAGAAATCTGATTCACGCCTCCTTTTCACCGTTAACTGCGGTTTGTGCAGTTCGTTTGCACGCAGCCCATGACTCTTCTTCCGGCCAGCCTGGGGCTCAGCAGTCACCTCGGCAACCTCCGCCTGGCCAGTTCTCGGATTTGTTGAACAGGTCCCGCTGCCGTTGATAGCTTTTGTCCACTCACAACCCTTCCCGAGGATCCTCGGGCAAAAATTGTCGCAGCGAATCTTCTGCTTCTGTCGACTACACAAGGTCTCACCTCAGTTCCTGCTTGATTTTGCACACCCCATGGAAATTCAGAACCAGCACTGGTTTGGATGCAAGCTGCCATGCCTATCATGGTATCGCCTCTCTGTTTGCCTCCAGAAATTGCGGCCACTCTGCCCAGCGCATGCGTGAAAACGTGATACCCAAACCGGTACCCGCAAATGAAGGCACTGAGCTGCAACCGCATGTTCCGAATCTATCCCTACGCAACAAGCTAAGCGGAGCTGGCACGGAATCTGCTACGGCAAGGTCAAGTGCCTAGTGTCTAGTGCCTGAGGTCAAGTCAAACGTGCTAATAGAAAGCCCAACTTGCACTTGTCTACAACCATGGAGTTGTCAGCGCAACCAGAGTCGACACTTTGGCCCTTCTCCTTCCTCGTTCGAAACCTCCTCCTTTCGCGAGATCGGGGCAATTGCAGAGCCTCGGTGTGCCGAGAGCAAAGACTATCCAGTTGCTCGTGGGCGGGTTGTGGAAATTTGTTTGTACCAACCCTTGAGCCCCATCCAAGGGGAAGCAACAAGTTCTTGGCGTTGATCCTTTGCCAAAAGTTACACTTTTTAGTGTGATATAACCCACCCTCAAAACTCCGAACACCTAAACGCCTAATGGTATGGGAAACGCCATGATGTTTGTTGCCACTCTGCAAAAGCCTTGGCTCTCTCCACAGTGTTAAGGCTGCGGCGGTATGTAACGATGTCCCTGACCAGACCTGCTCCGGCCGAGCAAAGGTGAATCGCCATCTTGAGCCTCCCTGAAACTGCAAAGCTTGCCGAACACAGCTTTTGGCTGCCCAGCTCTTGCCCATCCACCTGCTCGCGATTCATTCCACTTGTCCATGTTGTGCTAACCGAGAAAAGGTTCCTTCCCAGCTAACAGTGCATAGTGTCAGTACCATAGGTGTCCTGTTGGAAAAATAGATGGCCCTGGTACATGGAATAAAACCCATCTAAACCAGTGCCTTTCTAGTTTTAACCGCACTAACCTAAAAAGGACACCTATGGTCCGTGCACGGTATTGCCCAAAGGCAGAACGCGGTGCTGTCGATCTGCTTCACCTGGCCATCTCCCGACCGCACCTCTGTGCTCCATCTCCGCAAGGAGGTAGTCCACCCAAGCCTGGTCAATCGCAACTTAGGCCCTACGGCTGAATTTGTGATCGCTTGGATTGCGCCAGCCTGGTTGAACATAGATTGCAACAGATCTTGCCCCAAAGCTGCGGTTGCGTGATGTGTCTCGCGACAAGGTTTGAAGGCCCCCCCAGTAGCGCAATCTGGCTAAAACGTGTCCAATATCCAAAGATTGCTGTGCAACAGATGAAATGAGCGCAAAGAGTCCAACAAATGAGATGAGCGAAGATCTCATCTCTCGGGCGAAGCTTCCCTGTCGTTTCAGCGGCTGAACTGCGGGCTTCCGTTTCCCCGCTCCCACTCAGCTCCGCAGCTGTTGGCATCCAGTCACCTGCCTGCTGACCGCAGCGGCTGCAAACGTTCACCTGAGTCCATGGAGGGGGGGGGAAATAGAGGAGGGGCCCTTGTTTTTGGGTGGGGTTTCAAGGGAAACCAACAGGAAGCAACCCATTTTGGGCTTCTCATATTTTGAGCAACACCAGAATTGGAGTGCGAGGAGTCCAAGGAGTCATCTTAGCTGCTGACCTCACAAGGGTCTTGCCTCTGAGGCTCTCCAGCCAAGTGACCAGTGCAGTGCCTGTTGAGTGTCAAGTGGACTTGGCCTGAAGTGGTGCGGGCAGAAACTGGTGAAGGCCTCCAAGCTTCCCTTGACAGAAACATACGAGTGCCAGGCAATCAACAACTTCATTCTGATACGTCTTGATAAATCGCAAGCGACTTGCTGCTTCACAGCGGAGCCCGTCTTCGCTTCACACTAAGAACCATGCCACACTGTTGAACACGATCTCCGTCGCCACGATGCCCTGCACGGCTCGGCAAACATGGCTCATGGAGTCCCTTTGCAACGTTGCTATGGGACCCCGAAGGTCTCTGGAGCGAAATGGTCACCAGGAACCTCCATGCTGGTAGGGAAAATGCGGGTCGCGGTCTCTGTCGGCGCTGTGCCCACAGAATCATCCTACTGACAGCTTCACGCGACTCAAATCATGACTTGTGCGCGGTCAGTACGTCCTCCAATCAACATAGCTTGGCCTGTCCTATAAAATGTTGACCGAGCAGGGCACAAGGATCTGGTGCATCGAAAGGAGAATGCTGGATGAGTCAACCCTCACTTGCACTGGAAGAGCCCTGGGAATCAAAGCAACAACTCCCAAGACTGCAACAAGGCAAGAATTTCGCAAGACTCAAAGAGTCTAAAAATTTCTGCCGGAGTGCAGCAAAGTTACCCCACGCAATCGTGTCCGCAATTGCCGCAGGAATTTGCACAACTGAAACGTGGGATCCCAGGGAAGGGGGCTTCATGGTGAGCTCGTGTTCGAATTGGTGAGCTGTTTCCCCGCTGGACCTTCGGCATGCAAGGAACCCTTCGGAGCTCAGATGCGCCTGCTTCTCCATCTCGTTCCACAGGTTCACAGCCCACTCCCACTGCAACGCCTCTCAGAATCCCATGTGGCAGATGACTTGGAGGAAGCACATCATTCAGCTATCCAACAATTGGTGGTTGCTAGGCAGTATATCTTACCACACTGTTTCAGACATTGGCACGCGCATGCAAAAATGCAAAATATGTGCTCAGCTATCCCCCATGTTGAAATGTAGGTTTGATTGCAGATAGCAGAGCACAGCTACTGTATCTAGTCCTGATGCCGGAGCATGCGACAAGCTCACTTGCTGGTCGTCAATCGGGATTGAGACCAGCTTGCTCAGCGCCAAGCATGGGGCTTGCATTGCTCCCAAAGGAGCATCCTTTGGAGAGCACACAAAACGGCTATTCTAGGGGTTGATTCCCCATTCTTTTCAGCCATCGGTGTTTTCAAAAACCAGCCATTTCCCCAGGGTTTTTGGTGGTTTTCTAGAAAGAAGGATCCCTGGAAAGAATGGGGAAGTTACCCCTAGAGCTATGTGTTTTGTAAAGGGGTACCCCATTTCGGGGCTGTTTGAAAGGGAAACCACAGAAGAAGAAACTAGACCACGGTTGGCCCGAAAGCAGAACATCGCAAGCGAGGTCGGCCCAACGCTGCATCCCTACACGAAGCATTTGTGAAGCAAGCGCGAGACAGCACCAGGCAAGGTGCTCTGCGCAAACTGGTCGGTGCAAGTTGGTCTGCGCAAGTTGCTCTACGCAAGTTGCACTGTGCAAGTTGCTCTGCGCAAGTTGCTCCGCGCAAGTTGCTCCGGCAAGTTGGTCCCTGCAAGTGGCTCCCTGCAAGTTGCTCTGTGCAAATTCAAATTGCGCTCCCTGCAAGTTGCTCTGTGCAAGCTGCTCTGTGCAAGTTGCTCTGCGCAAGTTGCTCTGAGTAAGTTGCTCTGCGCAAGTTGCGCTAGGCAGGGCGCTCTGCGCAAACTGGTCGGTGCAAGTTGGTCTGCGCAAGTTGCTCTGTGCAACTTGCTCTGCGCAAGTTGCTCTGCGCAAGTTGCTTTAAAATGCAAGTTGCATCTTGCGACGCCCGCCCGCGGACCAGGGAGGAATCGAACCCGCGACCCGCCGGTTCCGGGAGCAGGCGCGCGAACCACGAGACAACTCCCGAGGACCAGTTCGAACAACAAAAGTCGCAAAAAACCTCGAGTTTTTGCACCTCGACCACGCCGATTCCCGCAGAGGGTTGCGCGAGCACCGCAGAAATCGCAAAAAAACCTCGAGTTTTTGCACCTCGACCACGCCGATCCCCGCAGAGGGTTGCGCGGGCACCGCAGAAATCGCAAAAAACCATGGGTTTTTGCACCTCGACCACGCCGATCCCCGCAGAGGGTCGCGCGGCACCGCAGAAATCGCAAAAAACCATGGGTTTTTGCACCTCGACCACGCCGATCCCCGCAGAGGGTCGCGCGGGCAGGTTAGAAATCGCAAAAAACCATGGGTTTTTGCACCTCGACCACGCCGATCCCCGCAGAGGGTCGCGCGAGCAGGTTAGAAATCGCAAAAAACCATGGGTTTTTGCACCTCGACCACGCCGATCCCCGCAGAGGGTCGATTTTCGTGTAGTGTCGTCGGCACTACCCCGCCGCCCTAAGAAGAGATTTTAACTCCTCGCAAGTCAATTGCACTTGACTCCTTGCACTTGCAAACTCGACTCCTTACAACTTGCAACTTGCACTTGACTCCATGCACTTGCAACTTGCACCTGACTCCTTGCACTTGCAACTTGCACTTGACTCCTTGCACTTGCAACTTGCACTTGACTCCATACGCAGCTCGCAATGACTCTCATGACTCCTTGCAATGACTCCTTGCAATGACTCCTTGCAATGACTCCTTGCAATGACTCCTTGCAATGACTCCTTGCAATGACTCCTTGCAATGACTCCTTGCAATGACTCCTTGCAATGACTCCTTGCAATGACTCCTTGCAATGACTCCTTGCAATGACTCCTTGCATGACTCCTTGCAATGACTCCTTGCAATGACTCCTTGCAATGACTCCTTGCAATGACTCCTTGCAATGACTCCTTGCAATGACTCCTTGCAATGACTCCTTGCAATGACTCCTTGCAATGACTCCTTGCAATGACTCCTTGCAATGACTCCTTGCAATGACTCCTTGCAATGACTCCTTGCAATGACTCCTTGCAATGACTCCTTGACTCCTTGCCATGACTCCTTGCAATGACTCCTTGCAATGACTCCTTGCAATGACTCCTTGCAATGACTTGCAATGACTCCTTGCAATGACTCCTTGCAATGACTCCTTGCAATGACTCCTTGCAATGACTCCTTGCAATGACTTTCATGATGATGATTCCTTGCAATGACACCTTGTAATGACTCTCATGAGAACAACTCAAGTGAACCCAGCGGAAGAACCCTTCGCCATGCTTTCGGGAAAAGAGGGAGAAAAAAACAGGTCCGGGGTCCCCTATTTTACGACGCCCAAACCGTATCTGGCTGGAACCGCACAAATTCCTTAAAAGGGCGACTGCAAGGTAGAGCATCTGCAGCTTTTGCCTATGAGAAGGAAGGTTCTGATCAACAAACTGCCTCCGTCCCGCCCGTATACTAATGCTGGGTGCGTTCAAGAACGGAAGACCCCCTTTTGGATTGCAAAGGGAATCCACAAGGAAGCCGGCCGGTTGTTGAGCCCCTATCAGTTTCCCTGAAAGCCTGAACAGGTCCAAAAACCACATACGTGTGTGACGGACAAAACTACCACCAGAAACTGATAGGTGTTCCAAAAGTGATTCCCTCGTAATGTGGTCAGTTGCTCCTATAGTTCTGAACATGTTTTAAGGCTGTTTTGAAAAATATTGGACTCCTTATGGATGTATGTTTAAAAGTTTGCTAACCAGCTGCCGGGCCCTCTTTTCGGAAACACCCATGTCAAAGCTCCTAAACGGCTGAATTGTTTTCTGGCTTTCCTTAAACAAGCAGCCAACAAGGCTCCCAACAAAAACCGTATCGCAAAAAAACCATCCGCGCGCCATATTGCAGGCGGCAATCACCGAGCTATAGGTGTAGACCTCGGAGGAACGAGGAAGACCACCCCATTCTCGCGTTTGGGGCACAGCAACCAACCCTGAAAAAGGGAACCCTAAAGAATGTTGTTGAAAGGATCGTGGTTGGCCGAACTTCGCCAATGCCTCGAGTGACGCGACGCGACAAACTCGCTTCAAAATGCCGATTGACACACAAGCCTCTCATGGCTCTACTAGCCTCACGGCTCCGAACGCCTCAGCCAAATCAGTCCCTTTTGTAAAAGCATGAAAAAACAGCAGGGCAAGAAAACTATGACTCCGTCCACTTCCTAAACCAACCCCAAACCCATGCCTCATCCTGCCATAAACCAACAATTGTTGGGCAATCCTAAGCCAGCCTGAACGATGACCCTGAACCCACTCAAAGCAAACCCTGCCTGCCTATCTTAAACCAACAGCCTTCTGGCGATGCTACAACACCCCCAGCGATGTCATCCGGCAAACCATTTGCCTTAGCCTCACCTCCTCACCAACCAACCTGAGTCCGGTTGAAAATTGCACGCCTCGAATTCCAGAACCAGAACGCAGCCAACACTTCAGCCCTATGTCCCCACTGAGCAAATGAAGAACCCAGATACACCCAACTGTGGTACAGGGAGACGTGCTTTGTGCCGACCGCAACTGAAAGTAATTGCCAAGCTGGGTTCATCCCCACAAAGATTACAACTTCTCTCGCCGAGCCGCGTCGGGTGCGAGGCCCAACCTCTTCATCTCCTGCCGTCTCGGGATAGAAACCAATCAAGGCATCTTGCGCACGTTTCTGTCTATCTGTGTGTGTGTGCGTTCATGCTAGTGCCACCCGGACCAATCTATGTGCACGCTGTTCTGACTTTGCATTGCTCGCCCCGATTGGTTGAAGCATCTGATTTCTCTCGACAAGGCCTTCGAACTGGCCACCAAGCAAATAAGACCACGAAAAGCAGACCGCACGGCCACCGCGGGATGCAAGTCCGCTTTCCACCTCTTGAACTACCTGACGAGAAGCGCCCCATGTTTTTGCCACAGTCGCAGTCGCCTCTGTGACATACCTGTACGCACAACGTCCAGCCCCAAGAACAGAGTGCCCTGGCCTCCCTTTCCTGTGGCCTTGCGGCTCTTCGAGGAAACCTGCACTTCGGGGGTCCGACTCTGAATGTTTTTCTCTCACAAGTGAAACCTATCCCATTTTTGTCCAGTGTTTAGTTCTCTACAAAACGCCTCCGGAGGTCCTTCCATCATACACCGACCCTTCGCGCTGACCGCGCTCCTCGAAGAGTTGCAGCGCCAGCTGCCACGCGCCCGCGCCTGCGCAAGCCGCCAGCGCGGTGTTGTAGCCTCGAGATTCCGCGCGTCCCTTGAAACAAATGAACCAGCCGGGCAGAAAGAGGGACCCAAGCATTCAGGGTTCAGGGTTTGAGCAAAATGCTGGACCCCTGTTGCTTGGTGTTTAAATGGAAACCGAAAGGAAACCACTGCCATTTTAGGGGAACGAATGCTTGAGAAAAACATCTAAGAGACCGGAAAATTCGCCGAACGCCACCAAAAGCCAAGAGATTCCATTAATGTCCTGAAGAGTTCCTGGATCATATTGACATGGGAATTAAGGAGTGATGCATTCTGTCCATGACCATCCCTAACCCAGGTGACCAACCCATGGAAATGATATCAACCAATGGGAAATGTCATTCAAGAGAATCATGGCCTTCTGGAATTGAATCTGGCATTTGCCACTGGCGAGTATCCTCCGCCCCCCATTTTGAGAGTGTATCTATTTTTGTTGGAAATTCAAAGATCTTTGCTAATGGCAATTTGGCGGTACCCGACGTCATCACGTCATCCGATTTGCTACAGTCGATGACAGTGACACTGAATATTGACCGGAAAAATGCTCTGTTTAGCGGGGGTCGAAAAAGGCTTGGCCCGTTTGAACACGTTGGGCAACATCGCAAAATGCAGCCCCGAATGTCTCATTGGTCTTTGGCTGCATCAAATTGCGGCATTGTTGTCAGATTTTCTCTTGCTGATGGTTTCAGTGCGTGTAGCCATGAGGATTGTTCTTCTGAGGATCTGCTGATTTGTCGGTCGAGGAGCTCTGAATGCATCCCTTGGGTCCTGGTGAGGTGCAAGGAGATTTGACCAGCGGAGACCCTCATGACTTCAGTCAGTGGGACTCGTAGGGGCTTGCACGGGTGAATGTTTCCTCGATTTCCGACGAATAGGCGGAACAATAGGAACAGGAGATAGAACGGGCGTGCGGACCGGGACCCCCTCCCCCCTTAAGTTAGCAGGGGTTCTGATATTATCCTGAATGTTCCCAAAGAGGAAGAAAGGATGGTTTCCTTTTGGTCTGGAGGAAGAAGCTTCATGTTTTCAATGGCCAAATAGGCTCATCTTTTGAGGAGGGAGTCTGGGTTCAAGTTTGCTTTGGGACAATCGAGGGTTGAGTGATTCAACATGTTGAAACAGGTTGACATTGTTTGAAAACATCCCTTCATGGGTGGCCTTCTGGAAAAATGGATGACCCCGGAAAATGGAGTAAAACCCATCTAAACCAGCACCATCCATTCCAAACCAAACTTACCCAGGACACCTAGGAACCCTTGCTGGATCCTTGTAGGGAGCCTGGCCCTTGGGGATACTAACTCCGGGCGCGGGGCTGATGAGGTCTGGCGTCAGCTGCAGCTCCGGCATCCGCCGCAGCAGGGCCACCGCCTGCTGCCACCTCTCGGTTCAGCACTCATTGGGCGCATAGGTCGTGAGCTATGAGCATGAGCTGAGGACAAAACTACGAGCAGCCTTTCCAACAAGACATTGGAAAATGTTGCATGTTTTGCTCAGACTTCCATGGTGATTGCAAAAATCCAACCCAACCCCTTCTGGAGAGTTTTTGGGAGGGCCTAGACCAAACCAAAGTGAGCGAAACTTCCGGCGCGCTCCGGGCGACCCCCGCTCGCCGCAGGTCTCGCACACGCTGGCCGCGACGTTGAAGGCCAGCACCTTGAGTTGCGGAGTGGAGCGACGAGAACCTAGGCCACTTAGATTCCATAGGTGAAGAATTACGCAAAAAAACATGGAACCCAGTTGATCAATAATCTTCTGGTTGATTTTTTCCGGCGCAAACCATAGGCGGAGTCCTTTGCCTTGGGTGAAACGCTCCCTAATCCGCCAGGATTACTGATCAGGTGCAAAGAGCCGCTTCCCCAAGACACTCGAAATCCCAAATTGGAGCCTTTTCCACTCCCGAGTGAAGTCCGTGATACAAACACAAAAGAGAGGGGTCCAATTTAGAGACGCGCTCATCTCCCATGTCGCCTCTCTACCTCTCCCATGGTCTTAAGTGCACTTGCTTTATCACCGCAGGATGCTCAGATTCAATGGGACCAGATGAAAACCTGGCCAAACGTGTCCTCAGCAGCATAGCAGCCTTGTAGCTCTGAGCTTTCATTGGGTGCCCTTTCGTGGGCATTATTTTTGCAGAAGGGGACGCCAGTAGTAATAATTATAACAGATAAAAAGAAGAAAAAACAACCAGCCATTAAAAAAAAAAGGCCCAAAACAACCAACATCAAAGAGCCTCATGCTAAAAAAACAAGTACAACAACCAAAAACACACACAAAAAAAAAAGATTGCAGACCCAAGGGGGGTGGACCCAAGGGGGGTGGACCCAAGGGGGGTGGACCCAAGGGGTTAGGGTCTGCAATATGTTTGTTGGTGTTCTCGAGGTTTTTTGCACTTTAGGCTGAAACCTCAAAAAACCTTGAGAAAACCAAAAAAACAACATTGCAGACCCCAAGGGGGTGGACCCAAGGGGTTAGGGTCCGCAATCTGGTTTGTTTGTTTTGGTTTTCTCGAGGTTTTTTGAGGTTTGAGCCTAAAGTGCCAAAAACCTCGAGAAAACCAAAAAGACCAAAAAAAAAAAAAAAAGATTGCAGGTGGACCCAAGGGGTTAGGGTCTGCAATCTTGTTTTTTGTTTTTGGGGGGAAGTGCCAAAAACCTCCAGAAAACCTGTCGAAAATCCTCATAACACTCTTGATGTCATTGACGCACCTTGACACATAAATCTAAATGTTCTTCAGCATCGAGATTTCAAGGCGTGCTCAGGAACTATCCATCTACTTCTGCTGCTTGTCTGCAACTCAACATGGTGACTTCTGAAGTCTGCTTTCTGCTTTCATGCAACCACGATATCTGCATAATCTGAAAAAACAAAATACTTGAAATTATATACACGAGGCACTTTTCCTGCAAAAACACAGCCCCCGCGGCGTTCCAGCCTCTATTTTTGAGACCCCTGTCCAACAACCATGGCTGCGGGAATTCCACAAATCTCAATTTCATTGCCATCTTGTGTGTATTCATTGCCATTGCAACGTGTTGCCAATCAAGAACCAAACTAGAGCTTGCCTCGCCGGAGGGGCATAGTTTTTTTCTGCCGCATGCATGCGAGACTGAGATGGGGATGCGGGCTCCCAAAGTTCTTGGGAGAGATCCAGTGGATATGTGCAGTTGCACTGGGTCGGTGTCCTCGAAAAAGGATGTTTGTTTGAAACAGTCATTCGGATCCTCATTTGACATTCGGGCTGAGAGGGTATGCTCTGGGCTCCCAAAAGTTGAGTTTCAGGAGTGTGAATCCAATAGAACTTTCTACGACCCATGTGCACAATGTTCCGAACAAAACAATGGGATGCTTGGGGGCCGGGCTCCCACTGAATTTCCGGGAGAGCGGGATGTCCATCTTCGCCGTTTGGGAATGGATACGCTCGAGAATGGCATCCGCAAAGGAGGCATCGGCATCGCCAGGTTGGAGCTTTGCTGTCCCAGAGAACTTGAGCTGATGGCTCTCATGAGGCCTGCAACATATTTTGGGCAGCAACGTGCGAACGCTTGAATTCTTGTCAATTCTTGTCCAGGGTCTGTTGGATGTTCTCCAAGTTCCAGGCATGTGGCTTGAAGATGCTGAACATAATGCTATCAACTCTTGCAAATTCCTCCCTGCAACTGTTGCCACCCGGACACAGGCGCTGGTGCTGTGGCACCCGTTGCTCTGGGCGCCCAGGCGCTGGTGCTCTGTGGCTGAGCCAGGGAGGCCTGGCGCAAGCAAGCAAAACGACCCTGAGAGTCTCGAATACCTCCTTTGGTCTGCCAGCCACTTGCAATTTCAAGCTCCAATGCATACAGCGCCCTATGCAAAAAAATGTCGGTACAATATGTTGGCACAGTAGGCGCAGCATAATGCATAAGTTGATAGCAAAAATAGCGTCGAACGTGATGCTCGACGTGGTGCGGGTCATGTTGCTGTTGTCGCTTGTGCAGTTTGATAGACTTGCTATGGTACCGAAACCACTGGCAACACAGGAGGCTCCTTTGACAACCTTCAAGCTGTTCCTGGAACAATCCGGAGTCACTCTAGCAAATTCCCTTGCTCCTACTCACATACTACCGGTGGGAGGGTACGTGCAAAAACACCCCCCCACTGGGTGCCATGTTCATGGGAGGGGGGGTAAGTAACTGTTGACTTGAACGCGGATTCCACGAAATCCCTACGAATGAGCAATCAAATCCTGTCACTAAATGAATGTGCCAAAACATCACGTAACGAATCCAGCAGCTTTCCCACGCCTATTCCGATGCGGACTGCTTCAACTTCAACTAATCGGATTTTGATTGTGGCTCGCAGAATTGAGCTGAGGCTGACAAACTTGGCAGCCAGAGGTTTGATGCACCTGGTGA